ATCTGGAGCCCTGCTGGACCGCGCCAGGAGGCCGGTGGGTCTCTTTAAATAGAGCGAGGGGCGGGGTGGGGGCAGGAAACGCGGGGAAGGGCGGCTGGGCGCCGCAGAGGGACCGGGCGGGGGCGGGGGCCGGGAGGGGCAGCTCCCTCGACCCGCCCCGCGGAGGGGGCAGTGGGAGTTGCGGTGAGGGGGGGTTGAGAAGCCCCCTACCCTTCCCCTGCTCCGCTGTCTCTTCGTCCCGTATTCCCGATGGTAAACTCCTGCCTAAGCTTCTTTGGCCATGGATCTTTCAGGATGGCTGGATTTGAAAGGATTACGGTAAGAGCTGTGGATCCGGGAACGTGGCCTGAGGAGCTGTGAGGGATGGACGGTGGCGATGAGGGTGTGGGGACCACTTAGTTGTTTGGGGGTGGTAGTGTGCCAGGACTTGGCAAGCAAGGCTCAGTGGGACACAGGGAACCACAATGGGACAGCCAGATTATAATCCATACTTGCTGGAGTCCGTGGTGGAGCTGGGGTCTCAACCCAGCCCACATTCTTCCAGAATTCTCAAATATCCCCATTCCTGGGCAGGCTGCACAACCAGAGGACACCAAGCAACTCCCATGGACCCCTTGAGACTCTGGTTGGGGGAACCTCCTGACCTTTAGTTTGGACCCCAATCTTATGCATCTAAATGGTGGGGGGACACCCAAAGGAATTAAAGGGATGGCAGAGCCTGCCATCATTCATTCAGGCATCAACTGGTGGATGAGCATTAATGAGTGTCCGCTGTGCTGTGGGTGCTGCCTGTGGATATGGGGATACTGCCATAAACCAGCCAGACCTGCTGTCAGGCCTCTGGCTGTCACTGGCTGGTGCAGGAATTGGGGTAAGGGTAAAATTATAAATGTGGAAAGCTCCTGAGAAGTACCAGGTGACTCACAGAGAATTGTTAGGAATGTTTCCTGGAGAAGACTGCATTAGCCAGATGAAGGCGGAAGAACCTTCCTGGTCTGTGAGGTCTTCATACGGTGGCCACTGCCCCCAGAGTGCTGAGACTTTACTGGTGGCAGAACCCAGAAGTTGTAGAGACTTTGCTGTTGACCCCTTTGCCTCAATTTCTTCTGGTACAGAATGAAGCTAGTAATAGTACTTACTCTGTAGGATTGATGGGAAGTCCAGAACACATAGTGTAATATTGGTACATGAAGTTTTCAACTGAGTGGTGGCTAAAAACACTGTGACAAAATATTTGTAATAAAAAGAATCTGTGCGTTGGTCTTGGAGGGAGGAGAAAAGGGCAGGGAGCATGAGCAGAGTGGTGGTGGGGGCTGGGGCAGCGAAGGAAAGAGAAGGTGGCAGGTGGGTGCTGACACCTGGGGCTGGTGGCAGAAAGTTCCTTGCTTCTCGACAACAGATTCAGTCCTTGTATTCCCAGGGCCCCAGGGCTGGTCTCTAAGGTTCTGTCTTCAGCCCCGGTAGGAGAACATATGGGCAGCAAGTGTGGTGGGCTCAGAACCTCAGGGCTGGCTGCCCTTTCCAAGCTCTCTCTCTTGGCCAGGCTGAGCTGGGGCCTCCTGACTTTCCGAAGCTGACAGCTGCACCCACTTACATCTCACCCTTGAGGGCATGAGAACGGAGGCCCCTGGAGGCCGCTCTCACCATGCCCCGCCCCGCCGCCTCTGCTCCCGAGTTCCTCTCCTGGGGCTGGACCCAGCTCTCCCAAAGCCTTTCTGATCCAATCTGCTGGGAAGAAGTGCATGGTGGATGGAGGGCTGGGGGTGACGTCAAGGTTGCCCTCACCCTGCTCTGACCCCTTCCTCAGGGGATCTGGAGATCAGGGTTTGAATAACCCGGTCTCTTCCCTGGAGGAAGAAGGGGCTGGAATCAGCCAAGGAAAGAGTCCCCACAACCTGGCCATTCCACCTGGGAAACATGCCTAGAATCCCACCCTTCCCTCATTCCCATTGCCCTGACCCTGCCACTGTCTCACTGCCCTCCCACTGGTCTCCTGGCCGCTAGCCCCATCCCTCCAACCCAGCCTCCATACTTCCCTAGAAATCTGACCGCAACATTGCCCCGCTTAAAACCCTTCTGTGGCTCTCCATTGCCTTCAGTACAAGGCCTAAGCTTCCCAACCTCATTCCTCTCCCATTGCACTCTGTAACCCAGACATATCTAACTACTGGTGGCTCTCTGAGAGCTGTTGCCCTTGTTCCTGTGAAACAGAGTAAGGCTAGGCCTGTGAACCAAACTGACTCCATTTTCCCTGCAGAGGACACTTTTTTCCCACTCCTTAGTCATGAAACCCCAAGGGCAAATGATTACCCCATGGGCTGCCCTGACAAAAACTGAGATAAGAGAAGAAACAGATTTTTTTTTTCCTTTTTGTCTTTTTTCGTGACCGGCAACGGGATCGCAACCCTCGGTGTTGCCCCCACACCTTGCTCAGCCAGTGAGCGGGAACCAGTCTGTATGTGGGATCCGAACCCTCGGCGGGAGCGCTGCCGCGCTTCCCAAGCGGCGCACTATAGCAGTGCGCCACCGGGCTGGCCCAGAAACAGATTTTTTTTTAAAAAAGATGATCAAGGGCCGGCTCGTGGCTCACTCGGGAGAGTGCGGTGCTGATAACACCAAGGCCCCGGGTTCGGATCCCATATAGGGATGGCCGGTCAGCTCACTGGGTGAGCGTGGTGCTGACAACATTCCCAAGCGGCGCACTATAGCAGTGCGCCACCGGGCTGGCCCAGGGACAGATTTTTTTTTAAAAAAGATGAGCAAGGGCCGGCTCGTGGCTCACTCGGGAGAGTGCGGTGCTGATAACACCAAGGCCAGGGGTTCGGATCCCTATATAGGGATGGCTGGTCAGCTCACTTGGGAGAGCGTGGTGCTGACAACATTCCCAAGCGGCGCACTATAGCAGTGCGCCACCGGGCTGGCCCAGGGACAGATTTTTTTTTAAAAAAGATGAGCAAGGGCCGGCTCGTGGCTCACTCGGGAGAGTGCGGTGCTGATAACACCAAGGCCAGGGGTTCGGATCCCTATATAGGGATGGCTGGTCAGCTCACTTGGGAGAGCGTGGTGCTGACAACATTCCCAAGCGGCGCACTATCCAGTGCGCCACCGGGCCGGCCCCTTAAAAAAAAAAAAAAAAAGATGATCAGTAAGGGGATCTTAACCCTTGACTTGGTGTTGTCAGCACCGCGCTCTCCCAAGTGAGCTGACCAGCCATCCCTATATAGGGATCCGAACCCCTGGCCTTGGTGTTATCAGCACCGCACTCTCCCAAGTGAACCATGGGCCGGCCCTGGAAACATTTACTGAGTTGCAAAACCCCTCCCCAAGGCTTGTTTTACCATAATAATAAAAGTTACAGATTTACCTTAAGACCACTTTAGGAATTCCCACCTGTGCACAAAGCATCAAGGTGACTGCTACAATGACCCTCCTGGGGTGACAATGATGAACACCACTGCCATTTTGGACCTACTGAGCACGCACCATGATGCAACCAGGAAGAACAGAATGGACCACCTCCAGTGACGCTGGCCTATGCCCCTTAACTCCTTTCCCTATAAAAGACTCTGAACAGCTCCCCTCGGGGGGCTAGCTTTGCTGTTGCTACCCCCCCTTATTCATAAGTCTATCTCCTCTTTTAATAAAGCATTGCTTGCTTTACTGCTGTGTACATTGTTCATTTCTATGACTTTGGAATCTGAGAGCCTAATTTTATCACTGGCAAAAATTGGAAAGCTTTGGGCACCAGAGAAGACCGTAGCTGCAAGAGGCATGTGGCCACTGGGGCTATTTTGCTCCCATGTCTCTGGTGCTGGTAGATCTCTCCTGGAGTCCCTGGCCTAAATTCTGACAAGGCAATGCTTTATTCTCTTTACCTTTCTCTGATTTTCTGAGCCCTCTTCTGCTGTTTGGTGGATTTGTATCCACTACTATATGGGTGCACCCTGGAGGGCTCCTGGCTAGGCTTTGTTTCTCTGATTTAAATCTAGTTGATACTTTTCTTCTTTATGCTGAAAACAGTGGGGAGAACTGCTTTTATCAATTACTGTCAGTGGAATAGGTTGGCCCACCAACTGGGACTAGGATAGACGACTCACTGCTCCTCTTTTCTCTTTGTTTGCTTGGTCAGACGTTTAGTTGAGTACCGGTAATCTGAATAAACCTTCCAATCCTTGCACCAACTTTTGGACTTTCAGGTCATTTGTTCAATGCGAGAGGGCAAGCCGAGCCTGGCCTGTCGGTAGCAACTACTGTTCCCTCTGCCTGAAGCACCCTCATGTGCTGAACACTATGAGTCTTCTAGGACTTTGCTCAGATGTCACCTTCTCCCAGAAGTCCTCTTGCTGGTGTTCACAGTGTACACTTATGTCCTCAGAGGCTCAGGTACTGCTCAGTGGTGCATTGGTTTTTATTATTTTTATTTTAATTATGGTTAAAAAAAACCCCACATACCATAAAACTTATCTTCTTAACCATTTAAAGTGTACAGTTGGGTAGTGTTGAGTATATTCACATTGTTGTACAGCAGATCTCCTGAACTTTTTCATCTTGTAAAAGAAACTCTATACCTATTAAACTCCTATTTTCTCCCTCCCCCCATCTTCGGTGCTTTGTTTACTTGTCTTTCCCCCCCTCCCTCATTAGACTGTGAGCCCCGTGAGGGTGGGCAGCTGGGGCTTGTTTACATCCCCAGCACCTAGCAGGGCACCAGGCCCATGTATGAATTTATTAATTAAAGTATTTTCTGAGCACCTCCTGGGTGCTGAGCACTATCTAGACACTGGAGATGAACCAGGGAACAACAAAAAAATCTCTGTCCTCATGGATTTTACATTCTCACTGGGGAAAGACAGATAATAAAATAAAATACAGAACATATTAGGTGTTCGATAAATGCTATGGGGAAAATAAAGCAGGGAAGATTGAGAGTGAAGAGGATGGTTGATAGTTTCTGGACGTGACCAGCGCCATCTTGGATGTGACCGGTGCCATTTTACACACACTCAGCACAAAACGGCCACCAGCCTTTCCCTTACGAGAAACCTCGTGGTTTCTGAGAAATAGAAACTCCTCCACACCAGCACCAAACCCCTCTCTGATTACATCGGCCTTCCTTACAGTCTATATAAGGTCTCCCACCCCACACCTCGTCCTGTCCTCCATTTTGAGCACAGCCCGGCAGATTCTTTTCCTTTAATAAAGCCTGATTGGTACCTGGTGTTTTGGCTCACTTTCTTTCAGTGGTGAGTTTCAATTTCAAAGGCAGAGAAATTCTCACTAAGCAGCTGACACTTGATGCAGGCCCTGAGGAAGGCAGGGAGCCCTTCAGGGGGAGGAGCATTCCAGGCAGAAGGAACCAAGTGTGCAAAGGTCCTGGGGCGGGACTGTGCCTGGTGTTGCTTGCTTGAAGAACAGCAAGGAGGTAGGATTTAGAACAGGATCACCTTGGCTGCTGTGCTGGGAATAGACTGTGGGGTGGGTGGCAGACACAGACGTCTATCCACCTTCAGTATAGGACTTGCTGCCAGCTGTGTGGAGTCTGGGCAGCAGTTGGCCTCCACCTGTTAGCACTTGCAAGTCTGCCTCTGCTGTCCAAGTCACCAAGCTGTTCTTGGGGTGGCCCCAGGAGATGACTGAATCAAGGGGTGGTTAAAGGCCATTTCCGGACAGTGCAGAACTCCTCACGGACAATCTTAGCTTCAGAGGTCCCTGTGAGGCACCTTTTTGATCAATCCTGCTTTCTCCCCTTTTCCATTTATAGGTGTGACTCCCAATGCACCTTCTGCACTCTTAACTCTTCCTCGAGTCTGCTTCCCAGAGTCAGGGGTGGGACGCAAGAGAGATGGAAGCAGAAGTCCAGATGAGGGGCGATGGGGGTGTCTGAGTCCCTGCAGGCTGCTGTAACAATACCATAGCCTGCGCAGCTAAACACAGACATTTATTTCTCACAGTCTGGAGGCCGGAAGCTGGAGATCAGGGTGCCATGATGATTGGGTTCTTGGTGAAGGCCTCTTCCTGGCTTAGAGATGGCCACTTTCTCCTTGTATCCTCATGGGGTGGGGTAAGATCACGTCTCTCCTGTCTCTTCTCATAGGGTACTGATCCCATTCAGGAGGGCTCCACCCTCATGACCTAATCACCGCTAAAAGCCCCACCTCCTAATACTGTCGCATTGAGGGGTAGAATTTTAAGATAGGACTTTTGGGGGGACACAAACATTCCGTCCATGCAGGGGTGTTGAACCAGGGTGGATAGAATACAAAATAATCCCCTATTTACCTTGGGCTACAGGGTGGCTGTTACTTTATGCAGTGGATGTGGACTTGAAGGCTGTATATGAAATCTCAATCTATCACAGGCACAATTAACGGAAGAGTGCAGTGAATCCTGAGATGAGGGAAGAGGTAGAGGTGTGTACCCTGAGAAGAGAAGACTGAGGGACCTGAGGACCACCGTGTGGTGACAGTGATGTGCCCTGGGGACTTGGTGGTGAACAGAAGCCCAAAGCATACTGGATGAGATCGGTGGGCTGCACCGTGCAGAACAGCATTCAGGCCAAAGGCAGGATGTGCAGGGTTGTAATGTCCTCTCCTCTGTGGTCCTGGCCTGTAGCCTGGAGACACAGGGCCAGGACTGAAAGCTCAGTCCCTGCTGAGCACTCAGTTACTGCTGAGATAGCCAGTGATGTCCTTGGGTTGCTCTGACCTCAAAGTTACCCTTGGCCAGGCAGCCAGAACGCCCAGGAAGATGCTAGAACGCAGGGCAGCAGGTGGGTGGAGATCACCCGTCTGTGAGACCTTTGTTACCATCCAGCCCGAGCTGGGGCTGACCTACGAAGCAGCAGGCAGCCACTTTCCTAAGCACGGCATTCCTGGTGTTTACTGGATGCATGAGCACTGTGCTGATGTTTTACCTGCTGTGTTTGCTCTTCTCTCTACAACAATCCCACGAGTAGGAAGTGTTCTGAGTGCTGTGCTGCACATATTCCCTTTGCCCCTCAGATCTACTCTCCACCCTGCTCCACTCTGCTCTGCCATGGGAGACTGATCTGCCTCCTGCCCTCTGTCTTCTGGGTGGGTTGGGTTAATGGGAGCCACTGGCAGGTGAGCAGGAGACAGCGGAGTGATGCTGAGGGATTTATTTGGTTGCTATGGTTGGATGCATACCCCAGCTCCTGTTCATTGTTAACCTGGTACTAGACCCAGGGTACTGCAGTCACGGACTTACCTTTGGAAACTCTCTTTAAAGTTACTTGGTAAGCATGTGCCATCTCTTTTCTGCTGGGACCCTGACTGATACAATTCCCATGGTGTTGATGACAAGACTGAGTTCTGAAAGCTGGCCCCAGGTGTATCGTGGTGAAGCTGTGCTTGTGAAGTGGTCAGGCTATGATTCAATCCTGGGGGGCTTTGGGAAACAGTGTCAGCCTAGCCCTAGGCCCTTTAAACTTGGCTGGCTTATCCACCCCCCTAATGGCCACATGTGAGGCAAGGGGAAGCCACAGCCTGTTCTGTCTACACAATGACCTGACCTCTCCTTGTTTAATTGACTCTTGCCTCACTGGCTCCTAAATTTCTGGCTCCTGGCCTTGGCTTCGATAGTCACTAAATGTTCCTCTGGGTTAGTACAGCCTTGCACCCCCTTTTGCTTCCCATTCCTATCTGGGATTGGATGTTGTTGTCCCCTAAATTTCAGGTCATGACATAATGCTGGGAGTAGGGCTGTGAGCCATGCCAGGAGTTGGTTACTGCAGAAGATGTGTCCGTGTTTCTGTCTTTCCCAGACCGTTTGCTCTTTGGGCTCAGGTCCTACTTCTCTATGTGGTCCCAGCACCCTGATAGGAGCCCATGTGGAGAAAATGCTCAGGAAAATGGAATGAACTGAATAAAATGCTGGATGACGGCATGATTTAGGGCCACTACACGGCCCATTGTGAGCGTTGATAAGGAGCAAGAGTATGAATAACAGGGATTGTGTGTACACACAGGGTGGGGATGCCAGTGGCATGTAGTGGCAGTGACTGCTGACAAAGGAGGAGGGAGTGTGGTTTGTCTATAACCAGAGTAACTGTGTACTTGGGACAGTCTAAAGGCTAGAAGCAGTGTTGTAGTGGGAGCACGGCGCCCTCTTGTGGCCACAACTAGAATCCCAACCTGTGTATCAGTAGGCTCCAACCCAGCCTCCACCTCCAACCCCATCCCAGCCTAACTTCAGCTCCAGCCTCAGCCACAGTCTTGATCCTATCTTCACCCCCCGCCCCCAGCCATGGGGCTCTTTCCCATTCTGAGGGCTACCTTTCCTTCCCTCAAGGTCCTGTGGGTAGGAGTGTAGGAGAATCGAGAATAGAGCCAACCTATATAAAACACAGCCTTTATTGATTTCAAGGAAACTGCCTTGCGGTTGTTCATATCAGCGCATCCACCCGAGTCTCTGGAAGCAGGGAATGAAAGGCTGGCACCAGGCTGAGCACATTTGCAGGGAGAAAGATGGAGCCCCTCTGTCTGAGGCTGGGGGTGGTCTGGGGGAGGGGGGCTTCTGCTGAGGGACATCCCCAGAGCCGTTGCCTCTTTCCAAGATCACACTTGGGCCTCCAGACCTCCCACTGCTGGAGAAGACCTACACTCCACCTGGGGAATCTGGGTGCCTTCTCCCAAGGGAGTGAAGATTCCCTTTGGTTTGGTCCATTCAGCCCAGGGCAAGCATGCCTCTTTTTGTGGCCTCCAGGACTCTGTGCCTGCTGTTGTCTCTGCTTAGGAGCACTTCTCACCTCTCTTACGTATTATTTCCTCAGGGAAGCCCACCTGATCACTCTCTCCTGGGTTAGGGAGAAGCCCTGCTATCCAAGCATCCCCTTGCATGCATATAGCTAATTTGCTTGTCTAAATGTCTGTCTCCTCTGAGGGCCTGCACTGGGTCTGTGGTGTTACCTATGCCCCGGTGGACAGCAGAGTACCCAGCTCATAAAGGATCTGCCCAAAATGAAATTGGAGAGCTCAATGAATTCAAAGTGTGGGCACCCAGCACCTGTAGGACCCCTCCACCCTGCAATACCTCCCTGCCTGTCCCAAGGGCAGACCCAGTGTCGCCCCTCCAGCCTGTGGTCAGGTGGGGTCAGGCAGGTATCAGAGTCTGTAGCTTGTCATTATCTGCCTTTGAACCCAGCTCCCCATCCTCCAGCAGCTTGTGGTGGCAGCGGCAGGTGGAGGCCCGGCTGGAGGAGGGTGGGGGGCTGTGGGCCCTTGAAGATTTGCCCTTGTGCAAGGCTCTCAGGAGCCTGTGGAAGATGAGGTAACAGATCTCACAAATGGTGAGCACGATGCAAACGGCTGAGGCACCCACCATGAAGTAGGTGAAGACTTTCTTCTCGGTGGGCCGGGCGATGTAGCAGTCCACAGTGTTGGGGCAGGGGGCCACGTTGGTACACTGCACTAGGCGTGGCATGCCGAAGCCGTGCCAGAGGGTGTGCAGCACGTACAGGAAGAGGAGTTCGATGGCGAGCTTGAAGATGAGGCTGAACAGGTAGGTCCACCATAGGCCGCCATGCTTCTTACCGGCGTTTTCGTATAGCTTGGTGCACTGGTCACCGTGCTTCTGACGGTGCCTCCGCTCCCGCTCCTCGCGGTAGGCCACATGCAGGATGACCAGGAGCGACGGGCATGTGACGAAGATGAGCTGCAGGGCCCAGAGGCGGATGTTGGAGATGGGGAAGAACTCGTCGTAGCACACGTTGGTGCAGCCTGGCTGCTTGGTGTTGCAGTCAAAGTCCTTCTGCTCGTCCCCCCACACGCGCTCTGCAGCCACCACGTACACCAGCACCCGGAAGACGAACACAACCGACAGCCAGATGCGCCCGAACGCCGTGGAGTACTTGTTCACGCCACTCAGTAAGGCCTGGAACATCTTCCAGTCCATGGTGCCTGGCGGGGGTGGTGGGGGCTGTGCCCACCTGAGGGAATAATAGGAAAAAGCATCATGTTAATGGATAGGTGACATTTACTGAGCATTCACTATGTACCAGGCGTTGTTCTGAGTTCTTCTTGTGGGTGGACTTGCTCAATCATCACAATGATCCTTTAAGATGAGGACTATTAAACTTCCCAAGCTGCAAATAGGAAACTGAGGCACAGAGAGGTTAAGTAGCCTGCCCAAAGTCACAGAGCAAGTATGCTGGAAGGAAGGGAATGTGCATTTGCTGATAGTAACAATTACCATCTATTGAGCACTTATTGTGAGCCAGGCATGAAGCTTAACACTTTGTGTGTAGCATCGCATTTAATCCTTTATAATGACCCCATGAAGTAGTTATTATTATACTCCCCGTTTACAGAGGAAGAAACTAATAATCAAATGTGATAACAATTACGTAGTACATAGTAAGTGCTCACTACTCCTTACTGTGAAGTCTAGAGAGGTCAAGTCACTCACTAAAAACCAGAGTTGGATTCAAGGCCAGGCTGTCGGTGCCAGGGCCTGTGCTCTCCCCTCCCCTGCCCTGCTGGACACCTGGCCCAGACCAGGCTCTGGGGTCTGTACCTTGCTGACGCCTCACTACCATCCTGTGAAGTTGGGTTATGAGTCACATCTACAGAGACAGAACTGAGGCTTGAAGATGGGAAATAACCTGCCCAAAGTCTCACAGCCAGCGGGGGCTGAGGAAGGGAGACCAGTTCAGGTTGGGCATGCATGGGGGGTTATGGTCTTGCTCCTGGGAGACACCAGTGCGGGGATACCTAGAGACAACTTCCCTGCCCTGTGCTGGCCTGGGGGAGCCCCAGCTACCTACAGCGATATAGGTTGCGAGGGCTTTGTGGTGAGGAGACATGCTTTGTCTGGGCCCTCAAATCACACATCTTCCCCGCAGTCCTGGAGTGACTCAGAGGGTGTGGATGGGTGGGTCTGCCTGAGTAGTCCTTGTGTGTGCATGCTGCCGTGGGTGTGAGAGCGCACACCTACGGGTGTGTGTGTGAAACTGTGTGCACATGTGAATGCTCCTGGAGCTGAGTTTGTGCCTCTGACGCTTGTGGGGCCACCATTCTGCTCCAGGCCACCATCATTCTTGCCCGAATTATTGCCACAGACACCTCACTGGCCTTTCAGTTTCTGCTCGCGTGCCCCTCCCCTGGAGTCCACTAAATCAGATCATGTCACTCCCTTGTTTAAAACTCTATTAGCTTCTCACTATGCTTAGAATTAAACCCCAGATTCTACACTCTCACCCTGCCTCTCTCTGCTCTGGCCACACTGGGGGCTTTGTAGGCTTTGTATCAATTCCTTCTGCCTGGAATGCTCTTCTTCTAGAACCTCACATGGCTGGATCCTTCTCATCGCGGAGGTCTCTGTTCAAACATCATCTCCTTAGAGGGTGCCCCACATTACTCCAGATCCAAAAGAGCCCCTACTTCCAGTCATTCTGCTCCTGTCCTCTTTGTTTTTTCCATAGCACTTAATCACCATTTGAAATTTAAGTATTTGTCATTTTTTGGTTCTTATTTACTGTCTGTCTCCTGCATTAGAATGTCAACTCTGTCTTGCTCACTGCTTTATATTTAGTGCCTAGCACTTAGCACATAGTAGGTACTCAATAAATGCTGAATGGGTAAATAAACGAATGCTGAGTTCTCAGAGAGGCAGCTTGGAGGGAGGGGATGGAAGGGTCGAGTGGGCAGGAGCCCAGAGGGGCAGCCTGGACAGGGTAGCTGGGGGCAAGACTTCCCTACTCTGCAGAGAGCTCAGTTCCTTCTCAGCTTCCCAGCTCTCCTGGGTGCCTCTCCTTCGGGAATCACCGTCTTGGCAGGATGGGGTGATTGAGAAGACCTCATCGCTGCACACCCTCCTGTGCTCTTTCGAAGCCCTGGCCTTTGAGGAGGGCAGTGAACTATGCATTGAACATGCACCGAACACACCTGGGATCAAATCTCAGCTCTGTCACTTACTAGCTGGATGATTTCCAAGAATTCTCTAATCTTGTTCACCCCATTTCCTTATCTTTAAAGGGAAACAATTCCTAATTTATTGGGCTGTTTTAAGAATCATGCCCTCCCCAGCCTGCCACTCACCTGGGGAGAGTTCAAGAAGACTGAAGCGCAGGTGGGAGCCCTGTCTGCCAGCCCCGGGAAGAGAGGGACGCTACCTGCTGCTTTCCCCTGCCACCCTCCCATGGCTGCCCACTGGGGGCAGCCCCCCTTTAAGTCCCCATTTTTCCCCTTCCGGTGGTGTCTGCCTAGTCCTGCCTGACACACCCCAGGGACACAACTCACCTGCAAAGAATTTCCCTGCCAACCCCAGGCTGGGGACTGGTGGAGCCGGTTCTGGTCCACCCTGCTGCCCCCCAACGCCGATTCCCCGCGCAGCCGTTTTTTCCCCAGCCCCTGGACCTGATGGCGCCCCACTATTGTCCCTCATCTTCACAGGCACCCCACAGGATAGAACGCCCCCCGCCCCCCATTTCCGTCCACTCCAGGCAGCTGGGAGCTTGCGGACGCGGGGAGGAGCGGTCCGGGGCCCCTTGCAGCGGCTGCACCCCCCACCCCACCCAGACTCGAGGGGCGAGCAGCGCGAGGGGTGTC